ATATATATATATATATATATATATATATATATATATATATATATATACGGATTGATTTATAACTTGCAAGTTCCCAGATTGTGGTATGAAGTTCCTGATGATATTCGCTGTGTCCTAGTGGTCTTGTTAACGTCAGCTGACGATGAACTATAAACGTACACTTGTGGATAATCAAATCGATCACGGTGCAATCTATAATTCTATGGGAGTACAAATAGCACTACTGATGAGGACCAATCGTGTTTCACTGTTAGTAAGACTCATCCCATTGGGGTTTTTTCTGATAAACTAACGGTTACATTCCTCGTGATCTTATTCGATCCCAGTGTCGCAACTCAAGAATACCGGTACTACCTTGAGGAAAATTGTTTGTTACGAAGCACAGTTTGAGTATGGATAATGTGGCGTGCATATAACAAGATATTTTATTTTGAACGTCATCAAAATTCTCAGCAGCACGCAAGATAACGAATTCAACATTTTGTAGTTATTATTTTGAACACAGCAATTAGCTCTGAGAGGTCTTGTTTATTACCGACCGTTAAAACAAATCGCCAAAAGCATTCATTCACTTACTACTCACTAATTTGAGTAGTACTTCACAACACCAGTGACAGTACGAATACCAATTGCAGATTCAGAATGTCGTATTTAGTAAACTGCAAACTTTCACAAGTTAAATACACTATGCACCCGGAGGGATCTGATCTGATCACATCACGGTGTTCTTGTTGGATCATTTTGGAATGAATCGATGCGAACAATTTTGGAACGCAAACTGATAGTTAGATCGACAAATTGGTGCCCGCGACCAGCACAAGAAATGTCTACAGTGAAGAAATTAGATGAGGCAAGTCGGATATTTCAAAAGAATAGTGCAGTGAAATAAAACTGAACTGAAATGCATACATTTAGTAAAGACCTTGGCAACCTGCCGTTCCGCTTCAGTGTGAGTCGTGTTCATGTCTCACTGGGCCACTTGGTTCATGGTGGCTGCATTTTGCTCTTTTTCAGATTGTCAGTCAACCCCCTCTCCATGAAGAACATCCCGTCTGTAGACGGTTCCAGCTCACACCTAGACTCGGCCCACTTGCGGTTTTCTGGTGTTTTCGTTCACTGGGAACATCCTGCCGCACGCCCGAGCCAAGCATCTCACAATTTGAATTTGCACCGAGAGAAATTTTTTCAAAGTAATTCTGTTCAAAATTAGTGTGTGGTTGAGCGGTAAAAACCACCAAATGATCACCTTGGAGGACGCATGTTCGAATCCCATCACCACCGACTAACTTTCTCCATTGTCTGTGTGTTTCATGACAGCCCTTTATTTGGCCGCTCCCCCATTCCTAGAAGTTGTATCATTGCATATTCAGTGCAAGGAAGTAAAAGAAAATAGTAATGATAAATCGATAAAAAGATCGCTGAACGAGTCAATTTACTTAGCACTGTTTTTCACATGCCTAAATGAACTCCAAAATATCCCGTTTGTTCAGGCAAACGAACCAGCATGACTCGAATCAGCCTATTTTTGAATGGGGTCAATCAAGTAAGTCGTGATTGGATGAACTGTGTGACTGACCACGATCATGGACATTAAATGAACCGGTGTCTGAGCGACCCTATTGAAGCCGAATACGACGACATTCCAACGAAGGTGCCATTGAATCGAATGGTATCGCTTGAGTTGATCCATGGAATGGATGTTTGAATTGGAAATGTTTCGTACTTTTTTTGCAGATCGATCGGTTGAACATTTACTGTGTGAGCAAAATACCGTAAATTGACAATTGCTGAATTGTTCGAAAACTAATCACAGAAATTCTGAATTAATGGATCCTTTGCTATTATAAAGCCTATGTTTAAATGGTTTTCATTTGCTCACGGGTGTATGAAACGACACAGTGTAATCTTACCCGAGCGGTGAAAGTGATTTCCAATTCACTCAGCGAAAGCAGTGAAGACCTCTTCTTTAGGTGGGAATGAAGAACTCACGTGCATCTACTTAAGGGTTTATATTGGATGAACCATCAAAACATATATCAATCGACAGTAGTTATTTTTTTCATATTCTGTCCCAATTATTTCCAAAGATTCGTCATGATTATCACAAATGCTGGGGAAAAGACAGACGAGATACGAATCTCTCTTCGGAACTTTTTGTTTCTTTGTTAAATGAATAGACAATGGGTGCCTGTTTACTCAGAAACTGATTATTCAAATTGTTGTAGAGTTCTTACAATGTCAAGTAGATGATCACTGGACTCCGACTCATGCATTCTAACACAAATGAGTGAATAAACGAATGTTTGAATAACAACAACACTGTTCAAAAAGAGAATAGAATGGAATGGTACTCTATACAGCCAAATGGATCGGTTAGATGCGTTTGACATTTCCGATTTAGCATTTGGAGCGCAGCTGAAAGCGACACACGATATGCGCCAAATGATA